TCATTTATGAGCATAATACGCTTACACGTACGCGCATGGCATTGTATTATTAAAAGGCTCGCTTGTAAAACAAACGCGACTGCAAGCTCGCAGTCGTTCGCTTTCTCCGAGTTTCCCGGACGCCGGAAAATAACAGCCCGTGTATGGCCGTGGGCGTCGAGGGGAAAAGAGGGAGAGAGAGAGAGAGAGAGAGAGAGAGAGAGAGAGAGAATGGTGGGGTGGAGAGAAGGAGCGTCGAATCCTCGGGACCGGCCGATGATATTTCCAAAATCAATAAGCTTTTTAATGAGCAATCACGACCAAGTCGAATATCATTTGGAAACCAGTTGCGCAAAGCATCGCGGCGCGCCTAGTCGAGCTTTTCCTCGCCTTAACGTTCTTCCCTCATTTTTATATAATGAACGTGAAAAGAGGAAAAAGTAAACGACAATAACAACGACAACGGCCAACGAAGTTTGGAATAAAAGAGAATATGTGATAATTTCACCTGGAGCAATTGAATTCGTGCAATTTACAATTTAAATTTGTCGTATTCGTATTCGAGAGAACATTACACTTTTTACGTGAAATAATCTCGGGGATTGGGAATCTGAAGTTTGGAGCGTTCAACGAGAATGGAAGTATGCCAAAACCAAAAAGCAGCGTGTATAAATAAAGTACCTTCATTGATCAATCATACCACAAAACAAGTCAATTATGCATTTCATTTATTTAATAAAAAAAACAACAACAACAACGATAATAATACCAATAATAATAAATAATAAATAATAAATAATAAAATCGCCATGAAAGTAAAAAAAAAAAAAAAAAACAAACAAACAAATATTTTAGTGAAAATTGAAAATGCTATTTATTATTAAAGGTGAAGGTATCGTTGGAAGTCTTTAAAGCCTTTATATGAACAATTAATTGAAAGTAATTAATTTTACGATGTTTTTTGAAATGACTCATTTATCCACATAAATAATACCAGGGCCTATGCCTATGGTAGGCGCGTGCATTGTGCTCGTAAATTCGTTGATAAAAATATAACTTTTCAAAAGTTTGGCAGAATATTAATTATTATGCGAAAGCAATGTTCGATGATAAACTACATAAATATAAGTTTTGATAACTTGTCGATAGATGTTGCCTAACGTCGGAATACTTTATCTCATTAACTAATTAATGATCAGCACATACATATCAATGGGCCGACCTTAATCTTATATAATTGTCAAAGTTAAATCTATCCTAAGCAATTGTATTATAAATTTTTAATTCGTAAAGCGGGAACTATTACATTCGTATTAAATAACTTATAACTGTAATAAAATTTAGTACCTACAGACGAATTTTAAACTGTTGCTTATCTCTCTTTCTCTCTTTCTCTCTTTCTCTCTTTCTCTCTCTCTCTCTCTCTCTCTATTAATAACATTCTTTGTACAGGATTTAATTTCAACTCTAAAAACTGTAAAACTTTCTTTTGAATATCTAACATTGGTTGCTACGACGACAAGAGATTTCAAGATTATTAAATAGGGAATTGCATGAAATTTGCAAATATCGCTTTGTTCTCAGCTAAAGATGAGTCAGATTTAACAAAATTTTGAATTATTATTTCTAGAGACGAATTTCCACTATAAACGTCGAGATGAAAATAATCGCATTCATTATCGTATCGAATTTTTATAGTCCAGTGAGAATTGTTTTACACACTTAAATGCGTTAAATGGCCTTTTTAACGCGCCAATGTTTGCGTTAATAGTTGGTTAGTGTGTAAAATACCGTATGTAAATGCAAAATAAGATATGAAAGTATGAAATGTCGATGACATAAAATACATATGTTACACGCGTGATTGTACACATTTAGAGTTGAGATGATTTTCATATTATAAGAAGAAGAAAAAAAGTCTTAATACATTTATTGCAAAAGATAAATCAAGATGATACACTGAGTAAAAATGTAAAAACATAAGAGTACAGTAAAAATTATTAATCTACCTATTCAATTGTATAGTCTTATAATGTATGTATGTATGTATGTATGTATGTATGTATGTATGTATATATATATATATATACGGCACATATCCAGATAAGTAAAACAAAATCTGAAAGTATAAGAGCATATAATGGGATGATGAATGATTCACATACAAATGTAACGAATATTTTCAACTACATCATAATTTAAAATTGAAACATTTGTATTACTTTTATATAATATTATGCAGACAATTGTTTTTGTATGAGCGGTGTCTGCGATTGACAGTTAAGAAAACTTGAGAGTGATCGATATATTATTAGCTGTAAAACAATAGCCACCGAGAACATCATCGAGATCGTTGGCTTTATCGCTTTGAATTCCTGAATGTTTATTAATTGCAATACGATTTCTCTAGTCTAATTATGAGAGTTATTTGGAATTTAATGTGATATTCAATTTGAACTATCGGTGCTTGGTCATTTTATTTTAATCAATACTTGTATGTGTACTTTAAATGACTTTATCTTGAAAGTTATATCGTTATCTTATCGATACATTAAGAAAATAACTCCAATTTGGCGATGTAAAAATGTTATAAAAATTAAAGTATTAATTGACATAATGCAAGGTCAAACGAATTAATGTTGAAAAATACCTCGACAGTTTTAAACATAAAAAAAAAGTTATTGTTTATTACCGAAATTTTATTTGGGTCAGAATAACAAGCGAGTGTTGTTTCTTATAGGAATAACAGAAAGTAAGGAAGATGCGAGAAGAGAAAAATCTTAAATGCGATATACCTATAAAAAAAATCTCTCATAGTTTTTGCAATCATTTATTTATCTCTTTGCCAAAGCTTAAGCCGACAAACATCATTGTAAGTTTTGTTCAACTTAAAAAAAAAGAGCAAAAACCTCAAATATCCATTAGCTTTAATAAATTCAACCAAAAATTTCTCCAGTTTCCCTATAGTTTAAATTCTATTATAATAGAACTTTTAATGTACAAGTGCTTAATGCGATATGAATCTTAAACTCTGCACAAATTCTTAGAAATTATATGTGCCGTTTTACTGAAAATGTAAAATCGTAAAATACATATTATATTCTCTTTTCCTGTTTCGTTTTGTTTTGTTTTTGTTTTGTTTTGTTTGTTTGTTTTTTTCTTTTTTTTGCTTTTTTTCTTCTTCAAAACTTCATTTCTCCCGTGTTCTTTTATCCATTAGTTTTATTCAGCTCCGACCTCCGTATGATTAAGTAAATAAGATAATATTTCAGCATTAGCGATTACATTTTACAATTGCTCCATTACGTCTAATAACTGAATGCAAAATCGCTGCTAAAAAAGCGCTTTTAAACAAAATCCGACTTATAAGTTTAAGAATTGCAAAGCGAATACAAGAACGCGAAAGCATGCTTTACGTATATTTCCTCATCTCTCGTTTCGACTCTTTTCTTCATTGATTTTTCAAAAGTAGG